TATAATCACAATATATTTGTGTTCCATATATACCTATATCTCAATTAAACGGTTGACTCAAACCTTTATGAATACTAGAGTAGAGAATTTCATTTAATGAATATTATTTGAAATGAGATAAAACTTATTAATACTTAAGAATTATCGTAAATTCATCGAATCTAATGCTCTGTAATGTTGAGTCTATTAATAATATGCAGTTGTGCTGCAAATATATTATTCAAGATTTAATCTAATTTTGTTTACTTTAATGTAAAACAAGAATACGATTGAAGAGAAAGTAATTTTTTATCGCAAAAGATTTTTACTGAATGAATATATCAGAGAATTTTTGTATGATTTGATAAATATATGCATTTTTGGTACAGAATTTGAACTACAATTTTATATTTATGTGAGTAATGTATTCCGGTTGTCGTTGCCCTCAATTAAATGATTACTTAAGGCTAGTCCAGTGTTTAACTTTCATTTGTAATGAATGTTTGAACAACGGGTAAGGAATCAGTATATTGTAAATCTCTTGCAATATATATCAAACACTAATTTCTTATTTATTATTTGCAATATTCGTGTATTAATTCTGAATATACTGTAAATGCTCATCCATTGACTGCATTGTATTTAATGATATTTAATTATAATATTCAATAAATGAACCAACATTAACTCCAAACATATATTTGTGTCTCAATTATCTGTTGCAATGCAATGGCTTTTCCTCTCTCTCTTTGGACCACATTTTCAATGCAATCATAGACACAATACAGTACATGACATACAAACTCATTGGCATTCACCGAAAGTGGTCATCCAGTTGTCCACTACAGTAATACAATGACTAGTGTTTGCCAACAGATGTCTCTCTGCGTGTAGTGCTGTCTGTGCGACACTCGTGTTTGGTAAACAAAATGATTGCATTTGATTTGAATGACCAATAGTTTGGACTTTGAATACCGGGCTATAGTGCGGAGCAATCGGTTGACCAATCGGTTGACCAATCGGTTGACCAGTGAATGCAATAGCGATGAGTAGTCCGACTGAGAAGGCGTTGCATTTGTTGCGATACTTACCGCGCGTTTCGCTCAACAATTTGTCACCAAATCCTTACTTCAAGAAAAAGGTAACTAATGCTCGCATTGCATGTGATTTAACCACTAATGTGTGGATGTGTTAGACGTATAAAGTGGGACAATACAGACCACGAGAGAAGATCAACAAAAGCAATAGAGAGAGACTGCGCTTCTGGCCGGTCGGCTATGAGGGCGGACGCGTCCCCTTC